GGGTCAGGTAAGAATCACCCAACAACAGCTGGGGGGGGGGGGGGGAAGGGGGAAAGGGGGTGCTGTAGTGTTTGCAGTGACTCTTAATCTATTCACTGAGGTTTCTGACATCATCGTGGCTAATAAAACATAAGGAGCTAAATTCAGTGGTAATGTAAGAACCATATTGTGGTATTTTATATGTTAAAAGTACTTACCATATCTTTACAGCCATCTAAATCTGCAACAAGAACTCATAGATTTGATATACTGAGGAAAATTAAAACAGCTCAGATTTGGAAGCCCAAGGAGCACAGAATTTGTAATATTAAATTTCATCCTTGGTGGTTTTTTGTTTTTGTTTTTGTTTTTTTTTCCTCCCCTGGCATTTATCAATGACTTTAGGTGTTGATGTTAATAAATAGACAGAGTGGGAAGACAAGTTTCCCCGCCCAGTTAGACATTGCTAAATCGCTCCTGAAAGGAGAACAGATGATTTATTTAGAAGGAAAGGGTCATCATTTTGCGGAGTAAAGAAATCAAGAAGAAATAAGAAACCAGCCTGTCCCACACCTGTTCAACTGAAAAATGTGGAGAACGGTTGTCCTGCGGCAAGACGGGAGGTGGAGACAGACAGAAGAACCATCTGGAATCTCCTAGGCCGTCTAGCTTGCAGTTTGTAGCAAGGCAGAGACGAGAGAGCCCGCCTCACCATGTGGGGGCAGAAGGAGGGTACGGGCGTAAAAGCTGTCCTCTGACTTCCACACGTACGCCACACGTGAACACAGGCACACATCACAGGTGCACTAACAGTAGTGAATTTGGAATGGATGAGTTGGAAAAGAAAAAATACCCAGCGTTAAGTCCCTATCTGAGACAGGGCGTGGCTGGCATGCCCTGCCCACTACCTAGGGGCGGGGCTTCCCCTCTCCCAGCCGCCCTTCACTATAAAATCCAGACACCTTGGTTCCTCCAGCCCTTTTGCCCTTCCCCTTCTCCCCATCTCTCTCTCTGCCCTTCGTCTCCCCCCAGCCCTCTCTGTCTCTCTTCTGCTCTCCTCTGTCTCTTTCTGTGCCTCTCCTCATTTTCTCTCCCCCCTTCTCCCTGTGCGCGCTTCTCCCCTCTCTCTCCCTCCTTCACCCCTCCCGCGCTACTCCTAATAAACCTACATTTATATAGTATAGCTTCGTCTCACCGTTAGCTCATGCCAATATTTACTCAATCACCCGGATAAACAACTCCCTATTTTCTGACTATCCAACTTTGTCTTTATGACACACTCGAGGGATTCGGAACCCTAGAAGACAGCTTTCCTGTACTGCTTTAAATTGCAGTGTTTTTCTTTAGATTTACTTACTCTATTTTCTGTGTATGCCTGAATGTGTGCACAGCCTATGCACACCTGGTCCCTCAGAGGTCAGAAGAGGACCCCCTAAAACTGGAGCTACACCTGGTGTGAGCCATCATTTAGGTTCTGGGAACCAAACCCAGGTTCTCAGCAAGTGCTTTTACCACCGAGCCATCTCTGCAGCCCCTGGATTGACTTTTAATTGTCTCGCATTTTAAAGAAGTTTTGCATAATTAACAACTCTAGACCCTGTGTTTGAAGGAATCCAAACCAAAGCTCTCTCTGACAATTTGAAACAAAAGACCTGTCATTTAATAATGTTTAAGTCATTCTCACGTCTTTAGAGTTAGGATGCAATTAGCTACTGATTTAAGGAGAAGGAAGAGAAAGCAGCTATAAAGAACAAAAGCCAGCAGAGGTTACCTACCTGACAAGCACTGTAATTCAGTGCTAACCCCAGGGGCTAAAGCTAGTCAGTATACTTCCAGTCCTTTCAGTTCAAGGCAGATATGCTACCTTATATTAATATTAATCTCTAGGAAGGCAGACATGATTTCATTTCTCTCTTTTTAAAGATCTATTTATTATGTGTACAATGTTCTGACTGTATGTGTGCCTGCACGCCAGAAGAGGGCACCACATTTTATTGTAGATGGTTGTGAGCCACCATGTGGTTGCTGGGAATTGAACTCAGGACCTCTGGAAGAGCAGCCGGTGCTCTTAATCTCTGAGCCATCTCTCCAGCCTGATTCCATTTCTTTTAGATATCACAAGCTCTTTGACAACAACCACTAAGTATTTATTTTTGTTCCTCTTCATTAGTCTGAAAATATTTTTCAGTACCTGGTATAAGCCTTATAAAATGGGGCTGGAGAGATAGCTCAATGATTAAGAGCAGTGGCTGCTCTTCCAGAGGATCTGGGTTCAATTCTCAGCACCCACGTGGTGGCTCACAACTGTCTGTAACTCCAGTCACAGATACTCTCACACAGACATACATGCGGGCAAAACACCAATGCACATGAAATTAAAATGTGTATATTTTTAGGAAAACTTGCCAACTGCCCCACCTGTGGCAGACAGTAATGCACCAGAACAGCACATCCCATTGCTTTTGCAGCCACCTCCTAGACACCAAGACACCAAGTGCATCTACTGTCTCTTGACAAACTTCCATATCACAGATTCTCCATTGAGTCTTCCCAGATCACCTCTGGTTCATTGTCAGGAGAAGATGAACAACTGACAGGAACCAATTTGCAGTTAGCATAGCACTGTGAATAAGTATGAATCTGAATGAAAAACATTTCTAGATTTCCTGTCACCAAAGCCAAGATGTTCCTTGGTGATACCACACTGA